GCTTCTTTAAAGAGCAGGACAGCAGCATTTTGATCCTTTTCCACGCCAATTCCACATGATAAGTAATATCCTTTCCACTAAACTGAAGATTGCTCGTGGTATATTAAATGGTCTTGCATTCATGCACCAAAGTAATATTCTACATCGTGATATTCGTTGCGAAAACATATTGGTATGTATGAATAATTCTTTAATAATTTTATAAATTCTTTTTTATAAGATTTTTACAACAAATAATCAATAGATCACTGGTGGATTTGAGGCTAGAGTTTCAAATTTCAAATATAGCCATGATGTGTCCGAAAAATCTTCTGAAATCAAAAATTTCCCTGATGTCATTCGATGGCTAGCTCCAGAAATGATGCTGGAAACACCTAGTTATTATGACTTTCCTTGTGAAACTTATAGGTAGTATATTTACGTGATAAAGTTTTATGTACTAAATCATGTTATACGACTATTTATACATTACATATTGTTATATAGTTTTGGTATGACACTTTGGGAAATTTGTTATCAAAGAATTCCTTATAAAGATATTGATAATATCGCCGAAATTAAGAAACTTGTTCTTAATAAAAGCCGCGAAACTCTTGGAATTGAAAATGATAATTTACAGATACCTAGAGAGCTTGCTGAGATAATTAAGTTAGGTAAATAAATCTTCTTTATCATGTAATAATATCATAATAAACAGTTTTAAATCATTAATTTTTGTTATAAAGCTTGGGATGATAATCCTCTAAAGCGTCCTTCAGATATGGATTTGCAGTTAAAATTTAAAAAGCTTTATGATGATCATATAGCTTCTAAAGTTCTTTCTCCTAAAATACGCCCTGAAAATAATAAAGAGTTTCCAATTTTTGAAACTCCTGATGCTTCTGATGGAGTTAATTTAGACGATTTTTCGATACCTGACGTTGGATCATTGATTCCTTTTGAAGATGGTATTAAAGCACATAAAGAAAAAAATTATGGGGTTGCCTGGAAATGCTTTTTTGATCATGCTAACCTTGGGAACAATCTTGCAAAATATTGGAAAGGATATTACTTATCATGTGGAATTGGCGTGGAAAAGGATCAAAATGCTGCTGTCCTGCTCTTTAAAGAAGC